ATCTTATTTTAAATAAAGAAATATTGAAGATTTTATTTGAAATGATCATTTAGTAAGTTCAATGGTCGATACAATGACCTTGTCATCAAATACTATGTATCATTAAGACGGATGTTTTTCATACTTGTTGTTAGACCATTATTTACACATTGAATTGTCTACGAAATTTTTCGCTATTTCCTGATCATGACAAGGAGCATACGGCAGGTGTGACCGGTCAGAAGGGGATGCTCACTCCTCCATGGCACCTGATCCCACCTCTGATATTTTTGAGGTTCGTGTTTGCTGTGCTCCAATTTCGTATTGTTAAATGGACTTTTGAGCTTGAATATTGTTCGCTATTAAAGGTCATAGATTTGAAGTTAATATTTTCACTAGCATTTCACAAAAAAAATTAATTAAAAATATATTTCATTTAAAAGTTTTAAAATACTTTAACAATATATTGTGTGTTTGTTTTGCTTTTGAACATGTCTACTCTGAATTTTCTGGATTATAGTATTAAGATTTTTCATTTATACACAACAAGATTGCCACTTTTCCTAAGGATTAAAAATAAAGTTAAACTTTGTGAAAGTGCAAGGATGTGTCAATCAAACCCGCCAAAAAATTTTAATTAGTTTTAATAACTTTTAAATGAAATAAGATTTTTAATTAATTTTGTTTGAAATGCTATTAAGATATATAAGTCGTAATATTATAGAGAACATATTAACTTCAAATCTGTGTCCAAGTACCTTTAATAGTTGTAACGCTAACAGTATTTATATGCGTGTATTCATTAGTTTAGCAAAACTTTAACAAATGGTCTTAGTTCAAAATCCTTTTCTTTTTTCTTTCTTTTTTTTAAGAAAAAAGTCCCAAGAATCATATTTAAAAGATATGATACAGAGGTTTTTTGCTTGTTTATTAGTCGTCCCGTTATAGTCTGGTCCTGATTTTTAAAAAGAAGGCTAGAAATAACTTCTAACGGCAAATAATTATTATTTGGTCCAGCATAGTTTTTTAACCTAATTCGAGTATGCTGAATCCGAAAAATTATGCTGGCCTTCATGAAAGTGGCGTTAAAGAGGTCAAAATGGCGATTCAAAATGGCGGACATCCAATTTTTCTAATTTTCTCTTAATCTCGTTTAAAATGGAGAAGTAATGAGTGAATGTCTTACTGAGTGTAATAAAACTATTAAAAATATAATAAAATGCTAACATTATTAGTTTAACTCTGAAAATTTAGCCGTTTTTACACTTAATTCGAATTTTCTCTGATTTATTTGTCTATTGTTTCTTTATTCCTCTTTGTTCAGGATTTTACATTTGCAAATATCCATACACTGCAGATTTGTATTTTCCCTCTACATCTCACTATTCTACAATTGAATGATGGTGCAGCTGTAGGTTAAAAGTCAAAATGGCGATTCAAAATGGCGGATATTCCTTTTTTCAAATTATTTCTTAATGTCTTTTACATAGGAGAAATGATTTGTGAATGTCTTATTGAGCGATGTACAACTATGTAAAATTCCAACAGAACACTAGTATGATCACTTTAAATCATTTAAATTTAAAATGTGTTATTTAGCTCAAAATGGCAATTCGAATGGAGTTTTATACACTCGATTTCGTAAAATACCCTAACTGCTTAATTCTGATTTGTTTTGCAGAAAATAAATAACAGGTTTTTCTTTATGTATGAAATTATGTTCAAATATGTAATAGAAGTTAATGGATATTTTCATTAATGACTTAGGATTTTTATAAAGCGGATTTTTGTTTAATTACTTCTATTATTAAGATAAATTTTTGACGACAATTCCGAAGACATTTCACCTATTATTCGTCATACATGTATCATGCTTCTTCCTATAAAAAGTTAATAATATCATACAATAATTGCTGTTTTGAGGACAATATGAAAATTAAGCTACCCCAAGAGCAGTATTCACCGAGCATTAAGGCGAGTAAACATTGTAGTTCGAGGGTTGCTAAATCATATCAGTTGCTAAATCATATCAGTGGAAATTCTTGATCTAATTTTAGTCCAGAGTAGAAAAAAAATGTTTATGTTCATGTGGAAGATCTAGTGCAACATAACTTGGTATGATTTTTAAAATGATGAACCACGAGCAATTAGAGGGCTTAATTAGAGAGGTAATTGTTACATCATATAAATCTGAATATATTTAATATCCAAACATAAACATTAATTAAGAATTATCAGTATAATATACGTAAACCATAATTTTTTTTTTATTGTCCAGCTCTGATTCTGTGGACCTACATTTGGATTTTGTTATTCTCAGTCAAAAATTCAACTGCATTCTCAAATATTTCATGGTGTGAACGGTCCTCCTCCACCAATTTTGTACTGAACAGTGTATATAAATTAAAAATTTTGAAATTTACAAAATCTGAAAGAAGAAAATGATTGTGTTCAATCCTCCCTCGATTCTTGATACATGTACAACTTTACACTATCCTAACGAAGAAGTGTGGATCAAGTTGCCTTGTAAAGTTCTTGGAGTGTTCAAGATAATTTTGTTGTCAGGAGAAGTGCTGACTAGATCGAAGTCAAGAATGGCTTAGGCCTATAGGTACGAAACCTTGTAAGTGAAAGGAATCACGAGGAATGTGCAGGCGCTATTAAATTGCATAATTTTACAACTTTTCTCACCAAAATATGCACACAATGTGATTCCAGATGATAAAGTTTGAGAATTTTCTTGCTACTAGAATGATCTTTCTACCCTAAAAGAAAACAAATCTATACGCGGTCACGAAATAAAGAGCTACATGTCTTAAATATCAGAGATTTTTTTTTGTAATAATTGAGGGTATAGCGGGAGGGTATAGAGAATTTATTCTATGCTTTATGATTTATTATGTACAGCATTATCCGCAAATTCTCATACCACTAAATAAAATTTGATAAACTTTTACAGAATCTTTATTACGTATTGCCATTGTGCACCTCTTCTTTTACTTTTTGATCCAACACATATTTTGGGTTTCACATAGCAAAACATGGACACTGTGTATTCATATGGGTGACGGTAATATCATTTAGTAAGCTAATTGCTCACAGTACCTCTTCTTCCTTTTGCATAAGGTTTTGGAAAACAAAATAGACTTTTAACATTTGAACATAAATGTATTGTTCCTTGAATGTTGATTGATTGTATATTGTTTCCACGGCTATTTTGCCATGTTTCGGTGGACTATCAGTTTAAATAATCGGTTTTTGGAGGATTTTGGTTTCTCTGGTGGCCCCCTGTGAGCTTACTCTTTTTCGAACTTCAGAGAAAAGATCTTTTACGTGCCAAGTTGGCTGTCATCCTTGACACAGGGCACCGTTTTACTTGAGTGTTGAAAATACCAAAATTTCGAAGACAGAGTGACATATAAAATAAAGCTGGAAGTTCTTATAACTAAAAAGCTAGAACAAAGTCTTCGATGAAATCGGAAAAGAATTTCCTCAGTTATATTTGATGGTATGCTGAGGGATGTTGAGGTAGAAATGCGAGTTGATAAAGACTGGATTCAGGAGTGATTTTAGGTGGACGGGGGCTCAAAGGCTTTGGAACACGGTCAAATACGAGCTGGAAAATTTGGAAACTGAAGTCGAGTTTGTTTTAACTATTTCCAGAAAAAATGAATCTTTTCTGATATTTTTTGTTTGTTTATATTTAATGGAATAATCAATATACTATAATTATATAAAAAAAAAAACAAACTGTAATTTATTTTCAAATTGAGCAGTTTGAGTTTTTTACGAAATACGAGTGAATATGACGTCCTTTTAAGTTTTGAGTTGATTAACAGATTTTAATTTAAACGACTAAATTTTCCGTTTTTAAGTGTTCATATTAATGTTCTATTGGAATTTTTGCATTAGTTAATTGTACTCGCTCAGTAAGATATTCATAAATCATTTATCCTATGTAAAAGACATTAAGAAATAATTTGAAAAAAGGAATATCCGCCATTTTGAATCGCCATTTTGACTTTTAACTTACAGCTGCACCATCATTCAATTGTAGAATAGTGAGATGTAGAGGAAAAAATACAAATCTGCAGTGTATGGATATTTGCAAATGTAAAATCCTGAACAAAGAGGAATAAAGAAACAATAGACAAATAAATCAGAGAAAATTCGAATTAAGTGTTAAAACGGCTAAATTTTCTGAGTTAAACAAATAATGTTAGCATTTTATTATATTTTTATAGTTTTATTACTCTCAGTAAGATATTCACTCATTACTTGTCCATTTTAAACGAGATTAAGAGAAAATTAGAAATATTGGATGTCCGCCATTTTGAATCGCCATTTTGACCTCTTTAACACAATTTTCATGAAGGCCAGCATATTTTTTCGGATTCAGAATACTCGAATTAGGTTAAAAAACTATGCTGGACCAAATAATAATTATTTGCCGTTAGAAGTATTTTTTTCTATAAATCGAACCAGACTATTATTTTTCCACTTGTTTTGCGATACCACCACTTGCCGCTGGATGGCTGCACTTACGTCTTCTGAGCATTGTAAGATCTTTCTCGTGCCAGCATCTACTGCAACAGGGACTTCGTTTATTTAAACTCATTGAAAGGACTGCCCTAGCGGCCATAAAACTTAGACGAGCTCACTTTTGATCTTAGTCTCACTTTAACCAAAGGAATATATAGTTGAAAAGTGAGACTGAGATCAAAAGTGAGCTTGTTTAAGTTTTATGGCCCCCAGGCTGAGTTGCTGAGTTGATCCGGACGCTGCTTGATTTGAATCCCGCGGTGGTGGAACGTGGAGACAGGTCCTTCGGGTAAGACCGTATACACCGAGGTCCCAGATGGCAGGAAGTGCTGACACGAAAAAGACCCCTCACTGCTGAATGACCCTGGTATATAGGTCTAAGCATACGTATAAATCTGCAGTCCTCCACTTGAAGTGGTGGTCTCGATATGAAACAAAAATTTCCCAAAGGGGCGTTAAACAACAAAAAACAAACACTATTCACAAGCAAAAAGAGACTTTTGTTGTTGAAGAGGCTGAAATTTTCCTAAATTAATAATAAAAAAAAGAATTCATAGCAAACAACATTACATAGTGAGACAGAGTGGAAACGAGAGAAGTTGAGTATCTCGGGTGACATGATTTACCAGATTTTCAAAAATGGAAATAAATAAAGTCTACTAATTATTTATTTACAAGAAAACTATTTCTTTTTCAACAGTTACCAAGGAAACACTTCAAACATACATGAAAGACGAAGCTTGTAAAAGAGTGTAAATGGAGGAAAATCACATCTTTAAGATTCATTCTACAATTAGACCATTGCTTTTTGCTTGTTTAAAGAAACAAAAAAATTTGAAACTTTTAGATAAAATTGGAAATGCATGAAGTCTTTATGTATCTGTAGCTGTTTGATGCACATTTGCAAAACTTTTTTATATTGCACTGTGAAGCAAATTTTGTCATCCATAGTTCTGTCAAGTTAGCTATATAAATTTGCAGTGACAATTAACAATCCTTAAATCATGAACTCTCATTCATGTATATTTAAGATATTTCCAAATGATTCAATGATTCTCATAAAACAAAAAAGAAGAAGAAAAAAGAAGAAGGAAACTGTGAAATCATTTAAATTTTGGGGATGGAGACAATTTTCGTTGATTGTCTAAATTTACAAGCTTGAGGGGACCTAATGCTGTGCATTCACTCATATTTATATAAAAGGGAAAATGAGTCTGAAGACCCCAAAAAATAAGTTGTTGAGGATGTGAATGTGGATGCAGTGTTACAACGAATTAAAGGAATATTTAACAATAAAATCTCACGATCCCAGCTTCTTTAAGCTACTTAAGGAAATTTTCGTTATTTGGAGAAAAATTGGTCTGTGGGGATTTGATTTCTTCGATGACAATTGCTTATCAAAATTTACATTCTGTGGCTAAATCTATTCGTGGATCTGATTAGACCACGAAAAAAAATGAAAAATAAAAGCCCCAGATAAATGATTTCACGGTACATTATACTCAGTACGAGAAACTATGATTGTTATGGGAAAAAAATTTTAGTAGTTCAATATATCTGTAGTTTTGTGATTTTTCAAGCCATTTCAATGCCACCATTTTCACTGTTGCTGCATGTTGATTTCAAAATGGATGCCCTAGTTGTATCGCAACTGTAAACGTAGGTTCGATAGGTCTGTGGCGACTTGAAGCATTTCAGAACACTTTTCAAACTGTCTTGGAAGTTTTTAGACATTATGCCATACACGATAGGATTGACACAGCTGTTTGCGTATGACATAAGATGGAAGGCCATGCGCAGTGGCTTCAGGATGCCCGTATGCAGATTATCAATAACTTTGAATGCAACCAGCAAATTGTTCAAAAGAATGGGCCCCCAGCATATTGCAAAGAGCACAACTATCACCATTAGCATGAGGATCACCTAAAAATTTAAAAAGCATTTTTATTAGTTATCATTCTCTGAATGATTTATTTAAGGAAATAAATGTAAAGTCAACATGCTTCAATTAAAAATGCTTTGGGCTCACTAATGATATCAAAATATGCTGAATATACTTTAATACAACATTTGACAGAGTGATTATATTTAATATCAAAGAGAAAAGTAAAATTTATGTGTATTATCGCATAATACGTAGAAATTATGAGCACGAAAACACAAGATCAAATTATTGAAGGGAAACACATTTTCAACAAATACCCAAAACCGTATAAAAGCCATCCCACTACAAAGTCGGCAACATTAAAAACAACCATTCCGTGTAAAAATAAATTCTGCAGGTGTAACAACGAATAATGAGTCCGATGGAAATACGACAGGGTCATTCGTCATTATACCATCAACAACGGGAGAAAGGAAATATCAACCTACGTTACCTCTTTCCTGTTTTGGTGCCCTCGTTACATACACTATCAACACCAATAGGAATGAAATCTCAAACTCCTTTTACCTGTTTTCTGGTTTTGGCGTCCTTGTTACACCATCAACACCAAAAGAAAGAAATATCAACCTACGTTTACCTGTTTTCTGGTTTGGCGCCCTCGTTACACCATCAACACCAAAAGAAAGAAATATCAACCTACGTTTACCTGTTTTCTGGTTTGGCGCCCTCGTTACACCATCAACACCAAAAGAAAGAAATATCAACCTACGTTTACCTGTTTTCTGGTTTGGCGCCCTCGTTACACCATCAACACCAATAGGAATGAAATATCAAACTCCTTTTACCTGTTTTCTGGTTTTGGCGTCCTCGTTACACCATCAACACCAAAAGAAAGAAATATCAACCTACGTTTACCTGTTTTCTGGTTTGGCGCCCTCGTTACACCATCAACACCAAAAGAAAGAAATATCAACCTACGTTTACCTGTTTTCTGGTTTGGCGCCCTCGTTACACCATCAACACCCAAAGAAAGAAATATCAACCTACGTTTTACCTGTTTTCTGGTTTTGGCGTCCTCGTTACACCATCAACACCCAAAGAAAGAAATATCAACCTACGTGTACATGTTTTCTGGTTTTGGCGTCCTCGTTACACCATCAACACCAAAAGAAGGAAATATCAACCTACGTTTACCTGTTTCCTGGTTTTGGCGTCCTCGTTATATGTGGTTGGTGCTGACTTTGTTGATGTTCTTGAAGAGGGTTGGTTCAGAAAAGATGTCTCTCTTTTCATTCCGCCATTGTTTGGAGTAGCGGAAGAGTAACTGTACTCACTGCCAATCACATGAGCAGAAAAAAAAATATTTATTACATCATTTTTCATTATCTCGTCATTTATTTTACTGATCATTAACAGTGTTTATATTTCTCCAATAGCTTATCCATTTGTATGAACTACTTTCTTTTACAATGAAATACTATTTTTCGATTTTTTTTTTCTTTAATAAATTTGAACTACTTTTTGCAAATTATCATTTCAACATATCTGTATCAGTCCTAAATAAAGATAAATCCTAAACAATTAAACTGCAGGTAACAATATCCTTTTCTATGATTAAATGTTGGTTACTTCCATGGGTCCTTGTATGCGTTGTCCTAATTCATTATCCTTATTTTTCGATTTACTAGTATTTGGTTTAATTTGAAAACAACTTATCGTAAGTCAATTAAGAAATATCGGTTGCATTGACGAAATGGTGTAAAGACAAAAAAGATTTTTTATGTTTAAAGTCCTTAACATAAAATCAATACAGCAAACGAGAGCATTTATAATTCATCAAGACACAAACAAGATGATGTAGAATAAGGGAAAGGCATGTTTGAAATTACTGTGTTAGACGATGTTTAAAGAATACTTAGCTTCTCATTTAAGCACAAATTTGATAATTTTCAAGAAAGACGTGACGTAAATATATCTTGGCTAGAAGACAGTTTAAGTGAAAGTACATTTGCTTTCAACAATTTATAGATCTGTAGGGAAACTGAACTACATTTAATTCTTAAAGTAATGAGAGTTTTTCATTAAGATTAAATAAGCTGAGAAGTAAAGCTCCTTATACATGTATATGCCTCTGTAAATCAATTTGAGAGGGTCATTATTTAAAAGTAACGTTTACTACAGAACCATTTTAATTCACGAGAGACAATATTCTAAGCAAATTATTTTAGTTATTTTGAAGGGTATAATTTCTTACGTAACTTGTATATGCAAAACATTTAATTAAGTTAAAAAAAAATACTGTTCAAGCGAAAGGAAACCCAAAAATTTCCCAAACATTCCCTCATGAAAACATTGATTTCATAGTAAACAATAGTGTACATATCCGAAAAAATGGTCTACGTAGCAGTTTCTACTACAACAGAAGAAGAAAAAGTTTTCTGTAGTAGTCAACTCGACTTTCAGATAAATCGTTGACGTCAAAGTTAACTCGAAATAAAAGGCACCACATAGTCAGTCCAGTCTTTTTTAAATATTTGGATGATTTACTGGGTATTGAGGTTCAAGACCAACTACTTATTACACCATTTGACAAAGGAGAGGACATTAGCTTTTTCATCTACAACCCTTCAACTGTAGTAATTTTCCACTATATTACCTGTATAATGTTTGTGTCCCCCAACTTATCAAGAGCATGCTCTACTTACGATAAAATGTTTAAACCTATGAAGGCTACAGACAAATAAATTGATATTTCAAGGATATCAACATCCCATTGAAAGTATTTCGTAATTTCTATAGGTTGCAATGATCTTGTGAGCAAAGAGTTAAAATTTTGACCGACATATTTTATACCAATTCTAAAACCTTGGTTTTTGCACTAAATTTGCCTACTTAATCATCCGTATACATGATCAATACGAAGGGTTCTTGCTTCTTAAATATAGACAATCAAAGTTGACTTCTCGCTTATTCAAAAATTAAGTTTCAAGAAGTTAATTAGTGCTCTTTAAAGTTGCCATAGACATGACAACACAAGTATTTTTTCGTGTAGTTACATATCAACAAGTTAGGTCAGAAGAATGAATTTGCTAAATTTTGTTTATATTGATTTTGATGTCTTGTGCATAAAAATTATACTATTTCAGGCGATTTTTAAACGTCATTAATTAAATAGAAAAGCAAATTTGTACGTATTTTTCTACTTTTACTTCCACAAGAAAAAAAACAGTTCCCTAATGCTATTGAAAAGATTTGGCCTTTATTTTTTAGTTTAACTTTATTTTGTGCTATATATACTTAGTATACAGTTTTTTTTTATGAATATGAAGATATATTTAAAATACACATTATGAAAAATATTGATACTATAACTTTGGAAATGTTCATGAATATACTTTCTTTAAACTACATCTACAAGTAAGAAAAATCTTACTTGAAAATTGGAGAAAACAGTCAAGGACAAAGAATCAAATTGCCCACAAACAAGTTAAATAAAATTTTATTTGAAATGGTTAGAGAATCTGACACGTTATTAATATTGGAAAAAGAAGAAGAGAGAGAGAATCGTCCTAGTATGTCTCCTGTAAGATGTAAGATTTGATGATTCCTTTCTGAATATTTCTTTTATTCATTGAACTATAGGAAATATATTTTTAACGATAGCATCTGGGCACTTATATAAAATAAGGGTTCTTTTTTTAAAATAACATCGATAATATCGGGATAGTTATTCAATGTGCAGTCAAAGAGTGAGTAAAAGCTCAAAAAATGGCTTCTAGATAGTTTCTTTCTCAAAAGCCTGATTGTTTTTTATACAAAATTTTATCAATGGAATATAAAAAAAGACTGGAATCACTGCAGAGCCACCAATTAAAATTCGTTTAAACAATTTTGCAATAAATTCGTCAACATGATGTAATACCTCCCAGATCTTAAGACTGCCCGTTTTGATACCACGTCCCAAATTTCCAAGGAAATTCTGATGTAGGTAACTAACATCACGCTCAGCGGGATCGTGAACAGAATGACAAACATGTATATTTCGTAAGCAATCTCGAAGCCATGGGACAAAAACTGCTTCACACACCAATGGGCGGTGACTTTATCATTGCCTACTTCTTTCAGCTTCTACAAAGGAGAATTTATTTCATTTGATCCAGAAATCACATTTGTTTACATAATAATTTTTCTTGATAGTAAGTAATTTTTTGGCTGATCAAATGTTTGTTTATATAAAAATATTAAGTTTATATACCTCTTCCTGTATCTGAGAAGTTTTTTATGACGAGATGAGTGTATGTTTATGTAATTTTTTGCCGTTATTGATTGTTATCACACGATGCCTTTGATGTGATACAGGGATTTACTGACCTGAACAAACACAGTTGGAAGGGCGATGATGAACGAGGCGATCCAGATTAAAATGGTAACAATTTTCGCATGTTTCGTGGTACAAACTGATCTTGCTCGAAGAGGATACAGAATGGCTACAAACCTGTTAATAAAAAGTAAATACAATTTAAATTAGTTTTGTGGTTAAATTAACCTTGGACAAGAGTATGCTTTCAAACAATAACATAGCGATTTATTAGATTACCTTAACAAATCTCAAATTTTGCAATCATTTCAAGCAAGGCGGTATGAAAGAATAAGACAAAAATCATTTGAAGTATGTCTCTAGCTAGTTTCCTGAGTCTAAAAATTTCATTAGAAACCCAAGCAGAAAATATATGTTTTACTTAAATAAAAAAAAAAATGATATTATGTACGTAGATTTAAAATTATATTGTATGATCATTTGATGCTTTTAATATTGCAGGCAAGACGAAAATATTATTTTTAAATTCTAAATATTAAATATATAAATATGAAAACTTGAATTAATTAATCTATTTTGAAAATAGATTGAACGGTCAACCAGTACAAACAATTTTAAGCATTCTTGTGAAAGTTCGGTGTTTAGAAAATCATATACAATGAGCAGAATGAAGTCAAAAGATATCTCCACAATTATATATGATCATGGTCTTGACAGATTCAACAGTAAGCATGGTCTTTTATGAATCCCAGGAAATCACAAACTATTCATCGTAGCTGATCTGGTTTGACGTTTGAAAATGAACACTTAAACATCTTTTCGCTGGTAATATAATAACGATCGAACAAGTGCCATTATTTCTTACAAATATGTCTTTCAAACTGCTGTAAACAAACTCGTACTTTTCCCCTGAGAACAAAATAGGAAATTTCTTGGAATCTTGGAGAGAGAAAAGGCCGCGATGTGCAAACATTTTGTATACAGAAAATCTTATTAATTCTTTATATCAAGTCATAAGTAGGTTAATATTTGCAGATATATCTAGAACGCTTGTCTTAAGATAATAAGTGTACCAAACAAAACATTTTTTTCACATTAATATTTAAGGAAAAAGTGTTGATAATACAAGGATATATACAAACCCATTTGATGTTATCATTTTGCAAATTCTACGGTCGATGAAATATAAAGATACTGTACGAACCGTAATCAAATTCAAAAGTCTTCAAAACAATACAAACTGGGAGCAAAGCAAACACGGACTTCTAAAAATAGAGATGGGATCAGGTTCCATGGGATAGTGAACACGCCCTGTTTACACATCACACCTTTCATTTGCTCCTTGGGCAAACGGATAAATCCGTAAAAAACTCGGTATGAAAATATACTTTGTCCAAAAATTTGTATGAAAATGCCAGTCAACATTCGATTTAAACTCAGATTATATTTGCTGACAAGGTCATTATATCGACGTGACATTCGATAGAGATATTGAATTGATAGTCATAGCAAATTGATTGACCTTTATATGTAATTCTAATTTTACAAGTTCACTGAAGCTAGTTTTTTGCGCACACTTCTAAATTTATGTAGATCATATCACATCCATATCAAAGTAACGCAAACACAAAGTTTGTGGAATTTGTCATTTATTATACATGTATAAATGACCTTGTTCTTGAAAAAATGTGTAAATTTGTACAAAACATTAGTTGATCTCCCCAGTGTAACATATTGCATGAAGAAAATCCAAATAAATGACCTTGTTCGTTAATACAATCCGTTGTTAGCTAGAATGTTGTCCGATTTCGTTCATACCAATTGTTACGTTATTTTTTCATACTGAATTAACTACAGAATTCTCAGTTTATCCGATCATGACAATGAACACAGGGCGGGTGTACAGGGAATGCTTTCTCTTTCATTGCCCTGACCATGCCTCTGTCTTAAGAGGTGTGTTTGCTCTGCTCACAATTTGTAATATGTCAATAGAATTCCGAGTATAATTACATGTACTGTTCGTTATCTTCATATTTCTTCCATATTTCATCCTTTGCATATGTTGAATTTGTGAAACATATCCATAATTACAATAAAATCGATGTGATTTTAATAATGGATGGATAGTTTAAAAAGTTAGGCTTTGATAACTGTGTCCTGAATGACCACGGTGATTACGTACATTATTTGTATTGCTTTATGCTTCATGAGGACTGTAATCTTTTGGATTTTTATACCCAAAGTACTAGATCAATTTCAACTGAATTTTAAATTAATTTCCATAGGGGTAAAAATATATATCATACTAGTATATAATTAATATACTGTGATTGAAATATATGGAGGTATCGAACAGTATTCAAGCTCTATATCGTTCATAAAAAAAGATTTTCGCAAAATGCAATAAAACAACACAAATTTAGAGCAAAGCAAATGTTTCCACCTGAAAAATAAGAGATGGGATCAGGTACCATGGAAGAGTAAGCAGTCCGTCGACCGGCACACTGAGCGCTTAGTTTGGATCAGAAACACTGCGTAAGCATGACAAATGAAATGAAAAATGCAGTCGGCAATCGACCCAATCAGCAACAATTTCATAGCGATCACAGTACAGTGTATTTACAAAATGATGACTTGAAACGACGTTGATAATTATTCTCCCTGAAATTCAAGAATTTAATTCAAATAGCGGGAAAGGATACTACAAAACATTCTAATAATATGAATCTGTTCTTGACCTTGTGGAAGAGAGGCGAGCTCGAGAATAGTAAATTCTTCTAAATTGTAAGAAGACTATATATATTTTCACCCTTTTCCAATTTACACGAAGACAGGATGTGAATTTTAAAATCATTACATAGGAATAAATATCTTTGAAACTAAATCATATATTTTCATGTAGATCTACACGTAGAATATAACATATTTGAATTTCGAATATATAATTATTCTAGGCATTGTCAATATCAGTAAAAATACTCTCGTAACAACAAATTTACGGAGATACATGTATATATCACACATTCAATAAAATTACCTTCGTAGTTTTTTTGAGTTTTTTTTTTATATAAATTTATGAATTGAGTGATGCAAAGGAAAACCAATGATCAACAATACCGAATTTTTAAGACTTTATAATAACTAGGTATGTGTTGCAAAGGTTTTCAAACAGCTATGCTGACCATCATCAAGAATCAATTGATACGAATGCCTAATGTCTTGTATTTCAGGCTCAGTTGCAAACAAAGCTGTCTGAAAATATTTTATGCGATATACTTCAAGGCAAATTAACTTTTCAAATTTTTTTAAAGTTGATAAATAGATTTCATTTTAAATTAGATACAGTGGTAATTGCGCTCTTGAAGAACCGAGACTATAGAAAACTTAGGCAATTACCGTTATGGTACTATACATCAAGAGAACTCCCAAAGGAGGACTTGAATTATGTTCTTCCTTCTTTGTCATTACAAGGTCTAACTAAGAAGACTTTGAACATTTTTTAATATCATATCTAAGAACTTTTGATCAATGCAAAATTTTTTAAAAAGATGAAAAAATTTAAAATTGTTATTGATCTACGCATTTTATTTCGATTTATCTTTTGGAAATCCTTTCTTAATAAATCGTAATGTCTGAGACAAATACTTGAAGTAATAAAGATCCCCGTAGAAGGGTATAAAGAAGCAAGTCAAGCCGACATCGAAAAAGTACTTGCAGCATTATATGATTAAAGTGACCTTGACATCTCAGAATGGAGAGCCAATAAAAAGACTGAGCAAATTTCCTATGTCACCACTTCCCTTTTAGAACACTTTTCTACAATATGAATTTGATTACAGATATGCTATTAAAGATACTGGCGCTGTTTTCTGTCCCTAATAATTGTGTTTTCATTTGTGTTTGAACCACCTACTCCAAAATTAACAACATGAAAAATTACTTATATATATTTTATTCTTTACAAGTTTTTCTACTCTTCTACCATTTCTTTCTCTTATGATATTAAGTGGTCTATTCCTATTTGTGAATGGCGTGTTTTATATTATATACTGGAAGACAGAAGGGTTATAGAATTTTCTTTGAAACAGAGGAATTGATGACATACCTCTCTATGCTCATAACAGTTAACGTCATGACTGAACACACCATGGACACGTTCTGAATGTAGGCCACGAATGTACACAGGAACCCGCCAATCTGCCATGTGTAGGTGAAAAAAGCTGTACACTGAAAATATAATAACTGAACATTTTTAGCAATTGAAGAAGACATTTTGTGGTCTATATGACGTATTCTTGGCAAGGGTCAGGGGCGTGTCGTTCCAAGAGAAAAATGTCAAAGTTTCCCTGATAAATAAAATTGATGCTTGAAAATATCAACAGAATAAAAAAAACTATACATTATAACAATGTGAAGCTTTATTACATCTTTTAACTCTACATTTGTATCATGATGTTGGTATTCTATAAAAAAAACTATAAAAATCACTTTTTGATTGATCGACAATTCCTTGGTTTGAGATAGCAACATAATGGTATATACTCTCCGAAAAAAATACTGACAGGCCGGATTTTGACGCAAAAATGTGTTAGCACCATGTAACATTTTTTAAAGATGAAATTTTTAACTTTAAAGTTTGTTATTCGAACTTTAATCTGGGCTTTTTCAACTTAAAAGTTGGTAATTTCAACTTCCAACTTTTAAGTTGCTTTTCTTAACTTGAATCTTGGATTTTCAAGTTTTAATCTTGGCTTTTCCAACTCATATCTTGGTTTCTTTTACCTTTTCTTTTTTATGTATTTTTTTTAAATTAACTTATTTAATACAAACTTAATATATTGAAACAAATTACAGAGCAGTGAAACTGTTTTAATTATTGAAAGTTTTAAATCAAAACAAAAGTTGAAATACATGTAACTAATTCTTTAGTTGTAATAACTAAATATATAAAGTTGGAATTAGCAACTTTAAAACTGTGAAAGCCAAGATCAAAGTTTGGAAAGCCGGAAAAGACAGTTTCAAGATAAAGGTTGGAGTTACCAACTTTCACGTTAGAATATCCAACTTAAAAACAAGTATGCTGTACATGGCAGTAATACGCTTTCAAATTCTGGCCGTTTTCCCCCCTTTTTGCACCAGCAAGCTACTATCTGTAGTTAGGTTGTAGTGGAAAATTTGAGTTAAAGGGATTTGATTTTGCGATTGACGAAAATGAGGGTTAGTGATGATAGTGTAGACTGAAATTTTAAAATATGTCAATAAGACGTGGATTCCTTGGGTTGTTTTAGAAGAAATGATATTGTTACCGAAAAATAAGTACCAGTTATCTCAAAGTATAAGTTCATCTCCTTTAAACAATTACAGCCACTATTTGATCATGTGTCCCCACCACCCCATAAAAAGCGCTCTAATAAAAAGAGAGAAAGGGTATTTTTAAACGGGCAAAATGTTGATGATAAATATATTTCAATGAAAATTGTGCTTACATTCAACATAAGTCAAAAAAAAGGCAAAGAGTGAATGCAGACATTTATTTTTACATCTTTTTAATTAGCTTAACCTTTGATATTTGTAAACATTTATTCTGCTGATTTTGTGGGAAAAGTGTGGCGCCATTTCAAAGAAATTGACATCACAGGAAATTAGATGTAGCGTTAACCGATACAATTTTTCAAACTTGTACATAATCCCGACTACAGTCCGCTGGTTTCTCTTCATGTTTAGAACAATAATTAATCGATGAAACATGATTGGCATCTAAAAGCACAATTACACCTTATCACATTGATTTATGAAAAATAAATAACTAATTGATACAATTTGTCTCATATCTTAATTGTAAACGTATAGTTCTGCTACCAAAATATTCTTCGCCACAGCAAAAATTAATTTTCCGTAAAATATTAATGAAGTCAGATGTGGTTATTACTATAACCGAGCACAACGCAAATGGAGAAACCAAACATTTAATCTTATCTCTCTCACGGCGAAAACCAGTAGGCAATATTTTGCAATGGAAATAAAAGTTAAAAAGCAGGCCATCTTTTCAAGTGTCTAATGCAAATGCACACAGGGAAAATAAAAATATCGGTGTCTGGTATTTTGGGTGTATTTCTTCTATAGCTGTGGGTTTATTTATAGGAATCTTTGTAGTTGCAGGTTTCTATAATATATCATTGTTTTAGTCCGCTTATGTTTTTATTGTACTGATGAACAAACAAAGTGCGTTTCTATCTTGAGAGGAAGTCATACCGTATATTAAGGGCCGGGAAATCTTCCTTCAGGATATATATTTCCCGGAAGGGGTGGGGTGTTCCGTTCAAGTACAATGCAATGCATATTGTCAGCCACAAAAGAAAATAATTTAACAATTTTGTCGCATTGTAGCAGCAACATTACTATTAAGCAATAGTATCACGTGCTTTTTGTTCTTCAATTTTTATTATTAAATGTACGTACAATTAATACCAAATTGTACCTTTTGGTCGTGGATTGCGACGATTTAAGATGATAACTATCACCTTGCATCGTCGCAATCCACGGCTAAAAGGTACGATTTTGTCCCATTCTAGAGAAAGCTATATGCAGACTCCGGACCATGGTTTGAGACAATGCTCTAATGGCTTGGTTTCTTGCAATTGAATATATCATTTTATATACATGTATTGCCAGATAGTGGGCATGTATATTTGCATGTATATTAATACTAGTATGCAGTACATGTAAACATTGAGTTCTTTAAATTTTATATTTGACATTGATACTTTTAAAATGCTAGTTGCAATGCCTCTAAGCATGAAAGTGGAAACGCTACCCCAGAGAGGAAAATAACTTCCTGGAACTCTGGATAAAGCGTAAAATACGAAAATTTAGTGATCTATGACCATGTTAATGACCTTGGAGCTCCCCCGAAAAAAAATTGATGTACAATGAAAAATTGAGAAGGGTTGTTGTTAATGTTCTTGATGTATGTTGTCAATTGGCTTTCCAGTTCATCAGATTACAGCTCAACAAAGAAGCCGTCAATCAAAGCCTTCTCTCGGTAAACATTACTGTACTTATATTTTATTAGATCAATAGCAGATCACTGATTTCTTTTGATTCCTCATTTACCCCCAGCGTTTTGCTGATTTCACATTTAATTTGTAGGAGAAACGTGCTAAATTAACAACTATTAATTTAAAGTTGACATTTGTTAAACAGATTTATGATTTGCTTTTCTATTTTCTTACGCATACATATTGTAAATATGCAGAAGTTTAGTGTACAGTGTATGTAATATCCTATACTTACATGTTACATTGAAAATAATTTGGACCTACGTTTGGTCAATTACATTTACATACATCTTCGCTTAAAATCACTAATGATTAAAAGATTTTCCTCCGAGTATAATCTAACACAAAAGTATTATTTCTCTTTAATTAAGACTGCAATTATAAATTCCCCAGCTGGGATAATAATAAGCAAACAGGCTAATAAATAAATCTAAGAAGGTCGACTGGACCGAAAATCTGGAAATCTAGGAACAGAATCGTGCAAGGTACATGTGTACTAACTAGTAATGTCTTAAAATTCAGGAACATTCAAATTTACTCCATGGGTGTTACTTTTATTCAAAAAGCATATTTTCTTTACAATTTCAATATTTTAAGTTTTAAGTTAATTGTTACAGTGTATTGTGATATCACACTATCACATAAAATAATAATTTTTCATTAGGTACGTTAATGTTGTTTTGGTTTTTTTTTTTTCATTCTTTAGAGATTAATGAGGTGACATGTTCAGTAAATCATCATAAAATAATCTGTAAATTAAAAAATATATTTTAAAGTCTTGGATGATTTTTTAAAATATATAATGTAAATGTCTTGAGTCTTCTAACTCTAAAATTTGTATATCTTAATGCTTAAACGATGTAGAATGATTAATCTTTTTTGTTGATAAATACCTTGATCGGAACACAAATCAAAACCAGCAGCAGATCAGCTGACGCCAAACTAAGAAGAAAAACGTTTGTAATGTTCTTCATACGAGGAAAGGTGAGGATAGCGACAATGACCAGTACGTTTCCTGCAATACCCAGCAAGCCGATAAGACTGTAAAAAGTCACGCTCGGAACCAGTTCATCTATTGGAAGCCAGTCTGAATGTTCATAACTATAGTTGTAATGATAATCGTAGTCCCAAAAACCGTCATAACCGTAGTCGTATCCGTAAGTATAATTCCCCTTGTCCTCCATGACTTCTCTGATGCAAAGTCTAAGGTCTGTGCACCGCAACTTATATCAAAAAGTGAATAAATGACATTTTGTTTTTAAACAAAACCTGAAGGATATTTTCATGTCAATTATCAACATTTTGATCTCACGAAAAAAGCCGTACTTCTACACGAAGTTGATATCAAAGTCTTATCTTATTAAAACATATTTCAGTATGTTTATTTCGTCATACCTCACCTCATCGGCGTGTTCTCAAATACCACTCCCTTCCATTTCCTTCGGATATATAGTGGCGCAATTGTTTCCAAACACGTTCCTCCCCTAAACTTAACAGTGTGATTCCGATTTTATAGCTCTTCTTGGCCTCAAATGATACTTTGGAAATAAAAAATATATAATCATCTCAAGTTTGTTCCCTCTTGCCAAAATAGAACAAGCGGAGAAGAAAAAAACTTTTGGTTCTTTTAATCCATCGAATTAACTTATCGACCAATTCTTCATTGCTTGGAGACTGGGAACTGTTTCAGTCATCAATGCTTGACGTGTTTATAGAGTCGAGGGTACGATTTCTACATATCATTCCCGGCTTCGTTTACTCCGGCCTTCTCTCGTAGAAATACTAACTTAATGCACCTTTAATTAATCCGACCCTCGGTGCATCCCAGACAATTTATTGTGTTGTAAAAAAAAAAACTTAGAAGATAACAAACTCGAAACAAATTATTTCCTTCTTTTCTCAAATTCAGCATTTTAGTTAAACGAGAGAACAGCTGTAAAATAAAATCTCATCTAAGTAAATTCATCAACAATGGAACTTGAGAAGAAAAAACTAAATACAAGTATATGAAGTTCATCCCAATAGATCAAGATCAAACAGTAGGATTTTAGAAATTCTTTGAATTAATATCAAAACCTTCTCATTGCTGGTCAAAACAAAAATGAGAAGATGCCCACAAGGCCCCGCACTGTATCGGAAGAAGAAATGCAAATTCAGTTTGATCTTCCTCAAATAAATATTTAATTAAATTCAATGCTTTTGATTTCTTCTTAACATCAGCATCAAGAATTTTTTCTTCATGTTAAATGATGAACCTTTCGTATATCTTGCAGAATGGAAATTAACAAAAATTGAACCAAAAATAGAACCAAAAGAAAGAAAACAAAACTCATTTAAAAATACATATTTATTTTGATTTCCTCCATCATACTTTTGAAAGTGGCGATAATTCAACAATATATATGTTTGATTCTAAAGAAACCTCGAAGAAAAGTCGGAAAATGGAAATTCATTGACCCCGAAACATTTGTTTTTCATACAGATCATCTGCGCCCCTCAACCTGAGAATTTTCGTATGTTATTTACTGTGTAAATCCGATGATATGACACAAATGTCAACTATTTTGATGTTAAGTACTAAATAAGTATTTAGCAAGAACAACACAAGACAGAACCCTCCGATACTCTGTCATGGCGACATTTTTTCCCCCAAGAATGACGATTTACAATGTCCCCTTTCTTCTACGGTGAACTAAAAATAATAAAGATATTGCAAATTTATATTTCTAGATAAACAAATCAATTCCGTAAGCTCTGATTTTCTATACTTTTTTCATTTTTCAAACGTTTAATGTTGTTCCTTTTTAATTTTTCAGACAGGGAACGACAACTGGAAATCATTCCTTACACATGCAAGTAAATATTTTTTTGAGACTTCATGAATGAAATTCATTTTTGAAATGTTACAATTGGACGGAATGACATATTCTTATGATACAAATGCATCAAAATAAAATCCGTCGTGAAAGAATTATGCAATCTCTAATCAGAGACCGGGGTTTGTAACATGCACGCAGCAAGATCCATAGACAAATCTAGAATAGAGGTTTGAGAAAAGATAAGAGAGATGTCCTCAATTTTTTTCGTCCTATATCATTTCTATTCTTTCCCCTCCACCATTTTTCTCATTCCATGCACCCACCCTTCAATGTGCTCTTCTCCTACCTTTCCAATTTTTCTATTTTTCAACTTGTATCTTATAATACTTAATTTTGAATTAACCACTTGCATGACAGTAAATACGGAATTTACAATATGACAATGTATATTTTGCTTTCACTGTCAGCCTGTTTATTCAAAATTTACCATATGGCATTATATTGAATGTTTGTTAATCAAACAGAGATGTTTCCATCACCAAGGAAAGTGTAACATTTAACCCTCTATTGGTAAGTTACGTACGGTTCTCCAGGAGGTTAACTCCTTACAGGAAACGGGACCTCTTTCTGTGAGGTCATTAAGACGTGTGACTTTCACTTCTAATTTCAGGCAAAGGAACAGTTATTACTAAAGAGCCAGAGACGAGACCCGCCGACCCCTGGCCTCTCGATCATGAAGCGCCAAACCAGGATTACCACAAAAAGTGCCTTTAAAATCAGATCTTTGTTATGCTTCAAGTTTTGATGGTCGCTGTACAACTGACATCAGAATTTTTGAGCGTAACAAAGATATGATTTTGATCACATTGGTCTTTCATTCGAACAAAAAAGCTACTGTCTTCCTTATTTTTAAAATATCTATTGTTTTGAAAGATGCATATATGATTATGGTTTGTTAAGCATGTATGCATGTATGTATCAGCTATATGTAGGAAGTATTGGCGGTCGGTCTGGAAATAGACACTGTATATAGTCTTCAGTATTGACTTTTTCCCAAAAGAAACAAACACGAAACGGTCAAATGTGATTTCTGTACCTGTCTGAATCTGCAGTACTGGGGAATTCAGGAAATTCAAAAGAAAATCTGACAAGTAGATAAAATACGATCTTTTCACCGGTCATTCAGAAATATATTCTTCATATGTATGTCAGTAGTGAAATCGATTAGTCTTTATGTGAATATAAAGATGAATGAACAGCCATAAATAATAATTGTGAAAGATGGCATTTAGATATACCGTAAACTGAAAAACTGATCGGTCAATAGGCCGAAAAATAAAAGCAGAAAATTAATGTACAAATATGACCCATTCATCACTCATGCTGATTAAGGATGCAGGATTCCATATCGGAAGGCGATGGTCATCGTAAATTGACACATTAACTCATGTGAGAAGACGTCCATCGGTGTATAGGATTGCCTTTCATATCTTATTATGCCACTGCAGTATGCCCTATCTTCACACCACATGTTCATTGATTGGCATTTAAGACGATCGTTTTAGACATGGAATACAAATAGCCGTGACTTACTTAAAACGCTGGGTAACTAGGGAATATCATCTTTGCATAGATTACTGGATAGAAGATGGCAATTTGACCCTTTCCTAAATGTGGAATGAGACTTAAAACAAACTAATTTGACGTTAGATCTGTAAAACAGATCTATGGTTAAATAAATGTTTGTGGGATAATTTGGTTTCACTAGACGACAGTGAAAAAAGATTTAAGGACAAGTTTTGGAAGTATAGACTGGAAAACATGTCAATAAATTTTATAAAATGAGGATAAAGGGATCGCCATTGCAATAAAACCTAATCGTATATAAGAGTGTTGAGAGACAAAAAAATCCAAAGTATTTAATTGCTGATCAAGTGCGGAGAGAGAGAGAGGTGATATAGAGAAATCTAATCAGAATGTCAAACCAAAGTTTTAAAGTCTTTACTGTTTAAGGTTTAGATCGGCAACTAGCTTACACAGATTTTTATTTCAAAATGACACATCATTTTCAGAGATACTTTCGTCAATTTGTCCAAAAGGTGTGTCTGTTCTAGGAAAATTTGCTATATCTGTGATCGACTCGATTTCTTTTTCATATAATATTACAACTTTATCGACATTTTCAAAAATATTTACATACATTTACATTTAAAGCAGTCTTGTTGTGGGGTAATTTTTATAGTATGGCTGAAAACCTAGAACTAAACCATTGTAATTTCGAAAACTAAATTTTAAAAGAAAGTCAAGATTCTACATTCTCATCGTTAATTTGATGTTTTGATAAACTTCATGCAAATAAAAACTCTAAATATTATATAAAGACAATAAATAATGTACATGTAGAAGACAAAACCAAGAATTTTTGCACATTTACTTGTATTCTTTTCTACATTTGCATTCTATAACAAAGTAATACATATTAAGTAATTAGTTTCTTTGCTTACAGAAACGACAAAGTGATAAATTCATTTTTATTTCATTATCTAGTTATGAATATTGCATTACCTAAAAGCTAATCTGGTCAGGTTAGGAACACATTATTGTATGTGCAGCAGTATGGAACTTCAAAACTGTCATTTGCAATTCCTTAAAACTGGAAAATCAAATGTTTTTGTTTGAATAAATTCTGCTTCATATGAATACAATTATATAGGTATTCTAGTTAGGTGCAATTGATACCCATAATTCCAATAGATTGTTGGAAACCTAGTCTCCAAAAACAACGCAGATATTGTCAATCAGAAACTCGAGCATTTTTAAAGATCAACTTTAGAGTACTTGTGTGTACAATCAGAATTTTGCAGACCAATAACAAGGTAAGTAGATTTGCAAGTTCCATTTTTATTGAAAAAAGCAGATGTCAATGATGTCAGAAAGCCTGGACTTTAATTTATTGAGGGGAATAGTTGAATATAAAGTTGAAAAGTCGTAAGTTTTAATATTGTTGAATGTTGTTAAAATTTGCGATTTCAAGTGATCCAAATGTTCGTTTGAATTTTTTTCCTGTATGCACGCCTGTTTTACGCCACATATCGAATATATTGTTGAAAAGTACTCTTGACGTCTCTCCTTCACTACGGAAGAAAGAGGCATGGTAGAACCCGCTATGTATCTTTGTACGAATTTTTATGAAGTTTCGGTATCCAATATGGCTATGGTAATTCAAATTCATTTTGGTTGTTGGAATATTAAAAATATTCAAAACTGACAAATGATTTTGAAGAATTTCCTCGTTAGAAAGGGCCAAATGAGTATAAGCTGGATTACTAGTTCTAGAATAAAATTCAAGTTGTGTGGTATAAAGTCAAAACATTTACCGTTTATAAAAATATGATTGATTATTAGATAAACAGTATCACGTGATAACAAATATTTTAAAAAAGATATTTTTTGAGAATTATTGTATCAGAAAATGTGCATATTTAAGGACAGACGAGACGTTCCTTGATAATAGATAAATTTTTCTAAGAGTTTGTCATTGAAGTGTTGCTACTTAAACATATTTACTCACAAAAAATTGAGGTACCTTACCAGTCATTTCTGCAAGATACCAGGAGAAGTTTTTCTTATATAATCCTTTGGGGAAGAAAAAATAATTTTCCAATTTCAAATGTTTAAGTGTTTGGATTTTTTAAAACCGTCTAGAAACTGGTTTAGAAATCAGAATGTTATGAAAATTTTGTATATTTTTCATACGTTACAAAGATATACAAAACAGATTTTGAGGAACGTCTCGTCTGACCTTAAAGAAAAATGCACCCGCTTAATTCTGTCCTTTTAGTGAAAACCATCATTGCAGAAATAATACTAGTATGTGTTTATTATTGATGGGCAAGTTTGACGTGAATGGTCTCTGAAAGGCTGTTATTGAAAGCATGACATGTATAAAGACAATATCCCTATAGAATCCGCCATTTGCAATTTACTTTCACTTTCAAGTCTTAACATATGGACAAAATAAACAAGGAAAACATCTTTCCAGAGGCTATCCAAGTCCAACTTGCCCTTCATTGATACACATATATTGTTTGTGCAATGATGATTTTCACTAAGAGCACGGAATTAATTAGGTGTATTTTTTGAAAATGAATGCATTTTAAAAAAGAATTTTTCTCAATTAATATTTTTCCAAGTATTTTTCATCAAGTGATACTTTCTATCTGTTAAATGAAAAATTTATAAACTGTAAAAGTTATAACTTTATACCTCACATACTTTTGGAGCTATTGTAAAAAGAATTTTTTGGACATGTTGACCTTTGACGAAACCTTAAACACCAGGACGTACTGGTCAAGTAATCTATCTCATTCTTGTTTACTTCTGGATTATTGAGAACAGAAGATCAGTCGGTTAATGCGCGATATGTTTTCTTAAATAATAGAAACCTCAAAATTTCAGTTGGCGACAGAACTTCATTTCTTTTGTGAATTCTGTTGAAGATTATGTCAGACCTTACATGTACGTCAAATATAAAGGGGAAGACTGTAAACTTAATCAGGAATGGATTTATTTTTGCGGATTCTATTAAAGATTTTTCTTAGAAAGTAGAATAACTTTCGTTTTCAGTAAATTAGAGTATAAAAGAATTTGCCCTATTTTGTTATTGTTCCGCTAAACTATGCTTGCAACAATATTGTCTTTGTCTATAGGGTTCATTAATATACATGTAGCTGTATTTAAGAAAATCTTGGTTTTTTAGCCGGGCTTATTGCTCAAAGAGCAATAGCCGGCTTATGGGATCCTGTTCAACTTCCTGTTCAAAGCAGGATGTTGACCCAATAGTCGCCAAATTAAACTGACGTTCTGAAATATAGTGTATCTACTTGTAATCGCTGTTGAAACAATTTATACTCATAATCTGATTAATTAAATGTGAATATAAACTGTACTGTAATTATTATTGTGCAGTTATCAAAAATACATTTGTTCTTAGTAGAGAACTTTTAACAAATTCCTACGCATAGCCTGGTTCCCTGTCCCTGTTTGCTTCGTTTACTCTGCGTCACTGCCTCGGCAATGGTGAGACAGGGTATCAGGCTAAATTTTCCACTCATTCGGCAAACCTAATCAGCCGAGGAGTCCCTAATGATGCAGGTGTTAGGCCAACACAGTGCCCCCCTAGACATCGCCAGATTTCGTTTCTGGAGATAAACAAAGAAGACGCCATATTACACAAGGTAATAGGTATACGCGATTGCGGTATTGCGTTCTCCATGGTCAAATTATACAGCTGGTACAACGAAACTTATGCGGAAATCGGAGACTGCCGTACAATCTGACCACGTTTTAAAGTTTGTGTATGACAAAGATGCGCAGTTTATAAATGGAATTGTGCAAGCCTCCATGCGAGACCGGAGCTACAGGTTACTGTAAGTTCATCCCATTTCTTTAAGATTTTTGGAAGAAAGAAAAGTTTTTTTTTAAGTCTTTGCCTTGCCAATGACCAAATAAATGGTTGACTACAGTATCTGAAGAAATTTTAAGGAGTTGAATGAATGTCATACAGACCTCTGCCTATGGCTGCTAAATCAAAGCTTTACAGTTTTATGTGAAGAATTAAAAATATATAGGAGTATGTAAAGAAATGTTGTAACTGTAAATGGAAGTAACTTTTCTCTATTTTGTTCAATTATAAAGTATGAATTTAGACCCTCCAGCCCCTGCATGGGTTTTAGTTTCAAATTTTTATAGCCATAAAATGACTTGGATTTGTAAAAGGGGTTTTTGAAGAAAAGTAGCTTGCACCCCCATCTTCAATAGAACTCCATTTTTCATAATATTTAATTTTTTTTATCTCTTGAAGAAAAAAGAAATGTAGAGCAAGTTATTGAGTATATTGTTTCTCCAAGGATGAATCCAGGATATGTCTTTGTACTCTCATGTCATCCAGAACTAATATGAATTTTTTCCTCATTTTCCCATTTATTTTCCCATTTATATATATTTTTATTTAAAAAAAAATAAATAAGACACTTTCACCTTGTTATGTTATTTTAAAAAGTTGTCCATATAATTTTGAAGCGATATGAGCAAAAATAAATCGATAAAAATAACCTATTGCAGATTTATTAAGAACAGGTGCATGTGGTGGATTTTGATCCGCTCCCGTTTAAAACAAAAATGGCGTCGTACAGCAGACGCTTCATACTCGTCGTAATTTTCGTTAAATAATGCAAGTAGAAAAATTACCATGGATAATTTCGTTTAGTATCATTGCATGCAGGAGAATATTCATTTGATTTGCACCAAAACATGACTGATTCTGTCAGGAAAATGGAAAGCTAGCTGAAAATTCTATGGCATGTCCTGTCGCACGACTGCTTTTTTGTGCGTTTTCAAAGACTTGATATATCAATGGTGAGTTTATTAATTCTAAACAACTTTTTCTTTCTCCGAGACGATTTGGGGTTTGGAAAAATTGTGTAATTTATGTATTTTGCCAAAAATTTACAAATAAATACCGTTTGACAGATTTTTAAACGTAAAAACGAAAATCGGCAATAATGGGTACTCGGCAATAATGGGTGTACTCGCACGTTATATGTTTTATCCTGCCTATGCAATAAATCCAGAACAAACCTCTTTCCGAATTTCCTTGACTGAAAGTGTCTATGCAATGTCTTAATACATAATAATAAATTAATATACAATTCTTTTTTTTTCTCTCTCCACAATTTTCAAGTTTCCATGTAAACATGCTTTTTACTTTTAAAATTGATAGTATCAGATAATATAAGTAAAATTCTAGGTGGTTATTTTTTTTTATTTTATTAGATTACTCTTGGTTCTAACTACACAGTTGAACAGAGTACCTGTGAATGTGTAAATGGGATGGACAAATGTCACCATAAAGCCAGCATTCTTCTCTATGGGTAATTTATATGCAATTTATGTAATATGTAAATTCACTTGGTCTGTTTTAGGTATGCTTTACCAAATTTAATGTTAAGGTAAGTCACTTGTCAGGTTTTTAGAAAAGTTCACGCAGAAGCTTTTACTTCAAAACTACTAATTAAAATTAAATTTTTATAACACATTTAAATTCAACAATGTAAATTTTTTAAGATTCAATGAAAAAACTGCTCAAAAATCTACAAAGAAGCAAGATTTGTGAGGGACTATTTTTTGTGGTGGAAGGATATTTAGCAGATAATTCTGCAAATCTGCACATTTATAAAATTTAATGTAATGGAAATTTAGCCTCACATACTTTTACTCGGAGGAATTTTCCGTTTTGATATTGCCAAAAATATTTAATATAGGTCTTAATTTATATTTTTAGACTAAGTTTTACACCTTCCCTCAACAAACTTTTCCAAAAAATGAAAATATATTAAAGAAGTCAAGATCAAATTTACACCATTTTTTGCCTGAAAATCACATATTTTGACAAATATTTCAAAATTAACATCACTGACCCCACCTTTTTCTTTAACTATTTTAAAATACTCGAAACTTGTGACTGATCAGCACTTAAGTCGTAAAAAGTTTGATATAAGAAAATTTTTTATTGCCTATTAAGTTTTTTAATACACCAAATATGTTATTTTTTAGTGCAAAAAGGTCTCACAATAATTTACGCGCATTAATTTGCAAGATTTGTTTAATGATAAATATTATTCAAACTATTTTACTTAAAATAAGATTATATTTATTGCCATGCTTACATCTGATCAAATATAATAAGGGTTAAAGTAATTAACTAAAGAGGTAAAATTTAAGTGCAAAAAGGTCAACTTAAATGTACCGTAGATCAGTAGGATGCACACTGACCCCCTATTTTCTTTGCGATTTTGAGTTATTCTTTATGAGTACTTATCCAAAATATACTTCTCAAAAAAATCCTTGATTTAACAAATTTCAGGAGTGACTTACCTTAAATAGAAATTATATCAAAACATGCACACCAATATATATACCCGGTATATACAAGTGTGCAGTTCACCATGTGACTGTAGGTAGCAGGGTACTATTCGTGCCCTGGAACCTCCAAGTCCACTACCTTGGCATATATAAGCATACTTGTAACTATAAAATCTAACTTTAGGCCCCAAGACTATAATATAACTTAGTAAATTTATGGAACATGTTGATACAGGTACAAAAATGTCAGCAAAACTGATGTACGCCAGAGTTGGATTACGCATCCAGAGTGCGCCACCTCGTCAAACTAAGACGATGGAAGAACTTTTTCCTGCACCTGACAGGTTTATAAATTACAGGTATGCATTTATTATGACTGTTTCATGAATGGTGCAAAATATTAAAAAATGACAGTACCCCAAAAGTGAAAATATAAAAAATAGAGAAATAGCATATTTTTTATGGGCAATATACACTTTTTTCAATGGATGGAACTGTATCTCTCTGGTCGTCCATCCTAATTTTTTCAGACCAGCAAGCTACAGATCTGCAGCTAGCATGGTATATGTAAAACCATTCAGTGTTGTATTATGCTCCATTTTTCAACTTTTGTCAAAAATTACTAGGGCAACAAATAGGCCAGTCAATGATAGGGACAGGGAGTTCCAATATCAGAAATTGACAACTGTAGGGAGATTTTCAGGTTAATATATCTGGTGTTTTATTTTAGTGTCACATTGTTTACGAGTTTATTTTATTGTTACTTTTTTGAAAATTTATACTGTGATAGGATAGAATGCATATACACACATGTATATATATATATATATATATATATATATATATATATATATATACTTAAATAAATAAAAACAGAATGCTGCAGTCCAAATTAAATAAAATCTTTACTGTTAGCGCTTTCAGCCATGTTGGCTCTTCAGACAGTTATAAAAAATTCAAAACGTTGTCAATAACGTTGCTAATGACGTCGTGAAAATTTAAGTCATTATGACGTCACAATGTAGTTTGTGGTAGCGGCTGCATGAACTTTTTCAACGCAGTTAAAGAATGTATAATTAAAGCATAGAAATAAAATAAATTTTGTGAATTATACATAATCTCATTTGCAATTCAGTTTTGGTTTAAAAAGTCTTATAAAATAGTCCTCTTTAGTAACACGGGCGATTTCATCCGATGTCCACATTTTGTAGAACGGGAAAATCTTAAATTTCCCTTTACCACATTCGGCGAAATGTTCTGAACAAGGGGTGGATCTGACAGTTTCGTCCCGTATATGTTGCTTGTGTACCCTCACTCGTGCGTTAAGCTGATTTGTCTGCCCTATATAATATTCGCCACAGGTTGGGCATATTGCACAATAAATCAAATTTGAAGATTTACAATTCATGCTAGTATTAGATTTTAAAACTTTCCCGTGTTTAAGTGTAATTTGTTCGCCTTCCTGTATGAAATCACACGTACCACATCGGGGGTCACTACACTTTCTGACGACACTCTGGTTGCTAGAGGAAAATTTTGCTTTGGTTAATATCCTCTTCAGGTTTGGTGCTTGTCTCCTGCTGTTAATAATTGATGATTTGTCCAGAAGATTTTTCATGTTTTCAGATTGTTCTAATATTGGAAAAAATCGCTTTGCTGAATTGAGAATATTGTGGTTACGGGGGTTGTGAGTTATCACAAATGGAATATTCTCTTCGTCGTTTTCCTCTGGATGGCGAATATTTCGTAATTGGGTTATAGGTATGTCTTTTGCCCGGTTGATTCCGTCCTCAATAAGGTTCATTGGGTAATTTTGTCGCGTCAGGTGTTGTTTTAGTTCTTGAAGTCTTTTCAAGCGTAGAGAAGAATCGGTCACGATTGTACAAATACGTCTCGCCATATTGTATGGAATGTTCCTTTTTGTATGTGACGGATGGCAAGAGCGAAAGTCCAAATATTGATGGGTATCTGTTTCTTTACAGAATAGGTCTGTAGAAATATCCTCTCCGTTTTTTATTAAAAGTATATCAAGGAAAGGAAGCGAGTTACGATTCATGTCACTTGTGAAATTAATTGAATCGTGTAACTCATTTATGACCGAATGGAATTTTGTAAGATCCTCTTCACTCTTTGTCCAAAAGATGAAGCAATCATCCAAGTACCTTTTCCAGTTCTCTTTAATGTACTGCGTAAATTCTAGATCAAACGTTTCCGGCAAAATGTTGTAAAGTTTTTCTTCTAAAAATCCCATTACTAAACAGGCATATGTAGGGGCGACTTTGGTGCCCATGGCAGTACCTTTGATTTGTAGATAATTTTCATCATCAAACAGAAAATTATTATTCTCTAGTACAATTCTAAGTCCTTCTAAAATGAAGTTTGCGGGGAATCTATCGTCGATTTCTTCCGGATACTTATCCAACCAATATTTGATCGCTTCAATTCCTAACTCATGCGTAATATTAGTGTACAAGCTGGTAACATCAAAACTAACAAGTAATGTTTCTCTTGGTACTGTTTGTGGAATATAGTTGAGGAAATCCATATCATCACGCACATAACTGGTCACTTTGGTACACAGTGGTTTTAAGATTATATCTAGTAGATTGCTTAATCTTTGTGTACTAGATGCGGGTCCTGCAATGATGGGCCTCAGTTTAAGATCATTTGGTCTAGGAAGTTTTATGTACGTAGAATTACATTTCTTGACATTTTCCTGGATTTCTTTACATTTGTGTATTTTGGGAAGACCATAAAAATGGCTAGTTTTAACTTCGAAATCCGTAAGGTATTCAATTTCATTTTTCATGAGATTACCTTGGTACTTCTTTGTGAGTTTTTTTTATTTTGAGCATAGTTTGTCGATCTGTATTTTGCTCTAGTTTCTTATAGAACTGATTATCCTGGAGTTGAGATAGGGACATTTCTTTATAATGTTCTCTGTCCATAATTACTATAGCTCCTCCTTTATCAGCACTTTATATGACAATTGTTTGGTCACTTTTAAGATTTTGCATTGCTTGATATTGATTATGTGGAATATTTGACGTTACCTTTTTATCCGCCATGTTGGAGTGAGCTGCCTTTTTGAGACATGAGATATAATCCTCCAAATGTTTATCTCTATTAGGCGGTGGCCTGAAACCTTTCCTATTTTTAACCAGAGATATATCATCATCGGTTTTATTTTGAAAAAATTCCTTCAAGCGTAATTTACGGCAGAATTCTTCTGTGTCCTTGACGACATCAACCTTATCAGACTTTGGCGTAGGGGTGAATTTTAAACCATGTTCCAAAAGTTTTATTTCATCACTATTCAAGTCTCGTTGTGATAGGTTGACAATTTTGGGTTCTGCAAAAACTGTGTTCTCTGTATTTTCAGAACAGTTAGTTATTTCTTCCGTTTCGTTTGGGACCAACCCTGTCCTAAAAAAGAATTCCTGGAATTCTGTAATGATTTACTCCTTGCGTCTCTCTGATTTGTCCTTTGTTTAAAAGAAGACTTCCGTGGAACTTGATATGTCTCTTGTGTTGAGTTTCTCCACGAGTTTTTATTGTTTGCTTTATTGGGTGCATTTCTACCCCTAGCAAAGTATCTCCTTTGATCAATTCTGCGTTGATCGTGTTCTCTGTTTTGACCATGCCTATGGTATTGTTCTGACGACTTCGTTGAATTATTTTGGGGTCCATGGTGTGGTATTCCTCTTCTCAGTGCATCCGCATATGATAGACGTTTTGAACTACTTTCTCTGTTCCTGGTAGTAGATCGATGTTCACTACGTCGGTTGTTGTTCCCCTGATTATTTTGTTGTTTATTTCTTATTGCCGGTGCTCTTTTCATCTTTTTAGGCTTTATTGGTTCTTTCCCATAGTTGATCTCATATTGTTTCAACCATGCAGATTTTGTTTCCAATATCTTCTTGGATTTTTCCTCCTCCCGAGTAACATCGTTGTTCCATAACTCCATCAGCTTTTTACAAACGTTGCCACTACTTCTTTTGTTTAATTCCTCCAGCATAATGGCGTCAGTATTTTCATACTTGTTTTTGTATTTCGGAACTCTGAGGCGAAGTAGTGTAATTTCGGCTTCAAATCTTTGAAGTGCCAGGTTGATACGGATTTTGGTTTCTTCACTTGGTTCTGTTGTTATTTCCTTTACTCGGAATTTTCTAGGAAAAATAACATTTTCACAGTTTTTCCATTCCTCATAGGTGTCGGCTAAATTTTCGCTTTTTATGGCATTCCAATAGGCTTGCTTTCTCTGGTTTAGAAGTTTGAACCATAATCCTTTCATTTGGTTTCTCTTTTTGTAAGCTTCTTTTTCAATATTAAAATCGCTCCACTCTTGAAATATTTCCTGCACATTTGTATTAGGAATTTCTCCAGAATGTATTTCTCTATTTTCATTGCTCTCTAATTGTTCTCTATGTGACAGCAAAAGGTCCAATTTTTCTCTGTATTCAAGAGTTTGCTGCTCCAGAGCTAATAATGAAGTAGTAAAGTTATCGTACTTACTACAAAGGATTGATAATTTTCCGGAAATTTCTTCTAAAATCCTTTCTATCCCGGTATTTTCCGCTACTGATTTGGCTCTTGTCTGCGACATCCTGATCTTGTACCAGTCAAAGAATACGTTGATAAGTTAAATTCTTGGTACAGTAAAAAATACTTAAATAAATAAAAACAGAATGCTGCAGTCCAAATTAGATAAAATCTTTACTGTTAGCGCTTTCAGCCATGTTGGCTCTTCAGACAGTTATAAAAAATTCAAAACGTTGTCAATAACGTTGCTAATGACGTCGTGAAAATTTAAGTCATTATGACGTCACAATGTAGTTTGTGGTAGCGGCTGCATGAACTTTTTCAACGCAGTTAAAGAATGTATAATTAAAGCATAGAAATAAAATAAATTTTGTGAATTATACATAATCTCATTTGCAATTCAGTTTTGGTTTAAAAAGTCTTATAAAATAGTCCTCTTTAGTAACACGGGTGATTTCATCCGATGTCCACATTTTGTAGAACGGGAAAATCTTAAATTTCCCTTTACCACATTCGGCGAAATGTTCTGAACAAGGGGTGCATCTGACAGTTTCGTCCCGTATATGTTGCTTGTGTACCCTCACTCGTGCGTTAAGCTGATTTGTCTGCCCTATATAATATTCGCCACAGGTTGGGCATATTGCACAATAAATCAAATTTGAAGATTTACAATTCATGCTATATTAGATTTTAAAACTTTCCCGTTTTTAAGTGTAATTTGTTCGCCTTCCTGTATGAAATCACACGTACCACGTCGGGGGTCACTACACTTTCTGACGACACTCTGGTTGCTAGAGGAAAATTTTGCTTTGGTTAATATCCTCTTCAGGTTTGGTGCTTGTCTCCTGCTGTTAATAATTGATGATTTGTCCAGAAGATTTTTCATGTTTTCAGATTGTTCTAATATTGGAAAAAATCGCTTTGCTGAATTGAGAATATTGTGGTTACGGGGGTTGTGAGTTATCACAAATGGAATATTCTCTTCGTCGTTTTCCTCTGGATGGCGAATATTTCGTAATTGGGTTATAGGTATGTCTTTTGCCCGGTTGATTCCGTCCTCAATAAGGTTCATTGGGTAATTTTGTCGCGTCAGGTGTTGTTTTAGTTCTTGAAGTCTTTTCAAGCGTAGAGAAGAATCGGTCACGATTGTACAAATACGTCTCGCCATATTGTATGGAATGTTCCTTTTTGTATGTGACGGATGGCAAGAGCGAAAGTCCAAATATTGATGGGTATCTGTTTCTTTACAGAATAGGTCTGTAGAAATATCCTCTCCGTTTTTTATTAAAAGTATATCAAGGAAAGGAAGCGAGTTACGATTCATGTCACTTGTGAAATTAATTGAATCGTGTAACTCATTTATGACCGAATGGAATTTTGTAAGATCCTCTTCACTCTTTGTCCAAAAGATGAAGCAATCATCCAAGTACCTTTTCCAGTTCTCTTTAATGTACTGCGTAAATTCTAGATCAAACGTTTCCGGAATCAACCGGGCAAAAGACATACCTATAACCCAATTACGAAATATTCGCCATCCAGAGGAAAACGACGAAGAGAATATTCCATTTGTGATAACTCACAACCCCCGTAACCACAATATTCTCAATTCAGCAAAGCGATTTTTTCCAATATTAGAACAATCTGAAAACATGAAAAATCTTCTGGACAAATCATCAATTATTAACAGCAGGAGACAAGCACCAAACCTGAAGAGGATATTAACCAAAGCAAAATTTTCCTCTAGCAACCAGAGTGTCGTCAGAAAGTGTAGTGACCCCCGATGTGGTACGTGTGATTTCATACAGGAAGGCGAACAAATTACACTTAAAAACGGGAAAGTTTTAAAATCTAATACTAGCATGAATTGTAAATCTTCAAATTTGATTTATTGTGCAATATGCCCAACCTGTGGCGAATATTATATAGGGCAGACAAATCAGCTTAACGCACGAGTGAGGGTACACAAGCAACATATACGGGACGAAACTGTCAGATGCACCCCTTGTTCAGAACATTTCGCCGAATGTGGTAAAGGGAAATTTAAGATTTTCCCGTTCTACAAAATGTGGACATCGGATGAAATCGCCCGTGTTACTAAAGAGGACTATTTTATAAGACTTTTTAAACCAAAACTGAATTGCAAATGAGATTATGTATAATTCACAAAATTTATTTTATTTCTATGCTTTAATTATACATTCTTTAACTGCGTTGAAAAAGTTCATGCAGCCGCTACCACAAACTACATTGTGACGTCATAATGACTTAAATTTTCACGACGTCATTAGCAACGTTATTGACAACGTTTTGAATTTTTTATAACTGTCTGAAGAGCCAACATGGCTGAAAGCGCTAACAGTAAAGATTTTATTTAATTTGGACTGCAGCATTCTGTTTTTATTTATTTAAGTATTTTTTACTGTACCAAGAATTTAACTTATCAACGTATATATATATATATAAATTCACAAAACACCTAGCTAACTCATTACACCCGGACTTTGGACTTCAGCTATTTAATGGCTTATTTGACATTGGACTGAAATTCTGACAAGATGTGCAGTCTTTCCATTCTTTTTGCTTTTTTTGTCTTTTACATGTTTAGTTTTGTTCTTGTCTCTTTTGTTTTTGTGTTGACTTTGTTTTAAACTTTTAATTATACATTTATACTATCAATTTCAATTCAGTGTGAAGTTTTGCATCAAGTCACAATCTTTTTTGACAGATGCATTCAGCGTAAACAATTCATGTGATTGATAAACTCATATTATCAACCTTGACACAGAAATAGTTGTTGTACAAGCAAACAATCAGGGATTAGAAGAAAGTTCCAGTCGTAAAGCTTGCGGTTAGGAGGCGTATACTATTTACCTTGAACGCATCTGTCAAACTAGAAGATTGTGACGTAATATAAAATTTCAACTCAACTGCAACCTTTAGTAAAATGTTTAAATATTATTCACCCTATTTCTCATACATACTTAAAGGGAGTTATTTGTACATTCTTTTCACATGTATACATATTGAAATCCAAAATTTATTTGAAGTAGTAAATAAAATAAGTTTGAAAAAATATTTAACATATATACCAGTATTAAGAATTGGTGATGTAACTGCAATACAGGTTTATTGAGTATTTGTTGTCTTTTTCACTGAGGGTTTAATTTTTTTGTTTAATTAAATCAACAGCAATGCATTGGATACTATCCCCGAGCCGCCTGTGCCCACACTTGCAGTGCCTCTAGTTGAAGACCTCATCTCTAGCCAGGAATTTATTTCTGCAGAGAATCCAATCGCTTGGATGAAGCAAAAATTAATGATAAATGAGCAAGAAATCCAACAGGTAAAGACAAATGAGTTGCATAATGAATAGAATGTATTCTGTTTCATTATGAATGTTGTTTAAGTTTTAAGATTTTTGTCATGTTTTAGATTGCCTGTCTTACCACTGGTCAAAAGGAAAATTGCATGTGGTCATCTGTTAGGAAGAATAGATTAACAGCTTCAAACTTTGGTTGTGTTTTGGCAGCGATCAAGAGAAATAGGTATACTGGTAGTTTACATGCCTTTATATGTATATGTAATTATAAATGATACTTGTAAAAGCAGTTAATTATAAAATCAAAAATATTGAAAGTTTGCTCCTTATATAACAGATATCCTGTCTCCTTATACAAAAGATTATGCTCAGCTTATGATCTGTCAAAGAAGGATGCCATTATTTGGGGGACGTGCGATGAAAAAGTCGCAATTGAAAAGTATAGAACTTTTGGGGATGCAGTTGTAGAGCCAACAGGTTGGTACATTTCTTTCCTAAGCAAAATTTCAATTTCTTTAAAGCAAATAAAAATTGATGATAAATAAAAATTTTTCTTGAGCTAATTTATTTAAAATTCAGTTATTAAACTGAAGTTGAAGATAATGAATATAAATATACTGTTTGTATATTCTATTTATAACAAGTCATCAATGCATAAGAAAATCAGAGTGTTGCATATTAATGCTATTTTGAAACTTTATAATACTGTTCATATTAGGTATCTGGCTACACTGTAATGGGGTTCTTGGGTCAAGCCCCGATGGACTCATTCGTCGTCCTGCTGCATTCGGATTCAGCTATCAGAATCCAGGACTCGCTGACACATTAGAGATGTCAAACGTTAAGCCAGAAATACTGGAGGTGAAATGCCCCTTTTCAGCAAAGAATATGACAATTCCAGAAGCTATTGAAAAAGTACACGATTTCTGCCTAGGTAATAATAGTGTGTATGTATTTGTTTGAATACGTTTCATGTACTGAGATATTACTTTAAATAATTCCAATATATTAGTTTGGATAAATTTAAGTACAATTTAGCAATTGTTAAAAAAGTTTTTTCCTTCTGTTGTAATGTTAGTCCTCAAGGCAGATGATTTGCCTTCTCACTTTATTGTACAGTAAGGAACAAAATACATATACATGTAAATATTTATTAGTTAAATAGTTTTGTCTTATATTAATGATTGAGGCACCAATGAAAATTCTTATTCTTTAAAAATCTTCAACATATATATTTTTTTCATATAGAGGTTCAGGATTTTAATGGAGTCAAGTCCTTCAAGCTATGAGAGAACCACCAATACTATGATCAAGTGCAAGGACAGCTTCATATAATTGGGAAATCCTTGTGTGATTTTATGGTCTGGACACCAAAAGACTGTGCGATTGTGAGAATTAACAAAGACATCAATTGGGAGATCAACATATCTGTTTTGACAGACTTTTATTTCTGTAAATTTCTCCCGTATTTACAACAGCTATAAGATATAACATTAAACATGGTGAAAACATTTTAATTTTAATATCTTAGTTATCTACACTTGCAAAATTCTGAGCAATTTCCTGCATAAGGGGATCCTGAAAATTGACTAAAACACAGCATAATTGAAAGACTTTTGTAGAAATATATCTAAATTGCTGCGGAACATGCCTTGAAATTTCATAATTCTTTTTTGTCCACGAGTTTCCTCTCTGGTCCCTTGCACATTCGTCATGAAATTATGGGGATGTAATGATTAGGTTCTTTAATTGTGCTTATTGGATTTAAAAATTCGAAGCTTTTATTAGTTTCCATGGAAAGGGGGGAAAAGTCAAAATTCTTGAACTTCGATTTTTAAATCAAAGTACTGAAAGTACAGATAGGTTTGATGGTTGTCCAAGTTTGAGTTCTAGAAAGATGTCCATCCAATTGAGCTAAAACCTTTTTAAGGCTAATAGGCATGTTGTGTAGATGTATGGAACAAAGGTCATTTTGTGTGCATACCCATTTACGTGCGGATGCATGCAACATTAAATGACTTGTATACTGAATATTGCTTTAACTTTTACACTTTTTTGATGAAATGCTCATTTCATAAGGATATTATATAAGGATATATTAATAGTGTAGATACATGTAATATGACATTGTCAGATTAGCAAGAAATGATGTGCATGCACGTGCACTTTGCTCTGATTGGCTGAAACAAAAATTTTAATATCTCTTTCTTTTTTGATGAAATACATTGAAATTTTAAATAAGTCATGCATTACGACAAGTCATGCATTACTACAATATGATATATAACAATAATCATGAAAACATGTGCATGCATGTGCACTGCAATCTGATTGGCTAAAACTTTAAATGGCTATAACTACTCTAGTTTTGAACCAGACAGGATGGGATTTATAACTTGCATATGCATGCACATGCGCTTAGCTCCGATTTTAAAATCAAAGTACCGAAAGGACTGATATGAGTTGATGGTTGTCCAAGCTTAGCTAATGGGCATAGTATTACTGATGACAAAATGAAAATTCTCCAGTTCGGGAAACATACGCTATTGCTTGCAATAGCAGACTTTCTAGTCATTATGTTGTCCCGAACGAAGTTGGGGATGACATATTGCGATTGTATGCATGTTTAAATACATCCTCAGTGTATCAGTAATATGATCATTTTTCTGCTAACTGTTGTTGTTGAAACGCAGGTAACAAAATTCGATGATAATCAGCATGCACAAAATTTTGCTGGCTAACTGTGACCTCTTAGCTTCGGACGTAGGAAATATTGATCCTTAGTAGTGCCTGACGCCATGGCATAAGGCAAGAAAAAAAATGCTCAATAACAATAAAGAACAAGTATATAAAGCTCAAAAATAAAAAGATAAAATCACCCTTATACTTCATCAAAGTTAAACCTATTGTTCTTATATAAAATTTAATGATGCTTTTTCATGCGCTGCATCTAATAATTCCTTATATCATTCATACTTTAACTGAAACCTGTTCTTTTCACCTGTGTGCTGTTCTTAAGCCCGGCTTTCAGTACTTTCAGTACTTTGATATTAATTCTACATCTTGAATTACTACTTATACTCAGAGTTCACTTTCAAGGTAAAAGGATGAAATTTTCCAAAATCACATTTAAGCCTTTTATACTTTAGCATTCCAGTCAAAGTAGTCGAGTTCGATCTACCCTATCTATAATGTATAAATAAACTTCATAAAAACCTTACAAACAAGATGCATTGTTGGGTCAAGCGAATGCTCTCCCAACCCCTATCATTATTAGTTCTTACGAAAATATTCATTATTGTTAACGATTTTAGCAATATACTGCACTACAGCAGGTTCTAGAAGTATTGTAAATCAAACATGGATTATTAAAGACTCCATTAAATTTTAGAAAGAAAAAAAAATAAAAATCATTAAACTATATACAGTAACATAAAAACATTACTTTTTTAAAATTTTATACCACAAGCAATGTTTTTAGATATTATACACAGAAAGCACTTGATGAGACCTTCAGATATATCATTCAGAGATATCAACGACGTTTTATCAATCAACACTAATTACATCCATATAATTATCGACTAGACATAAAAGATACCACCGAATCTACTATATATACATGCACATCTGTTTTATATTTGTCTGTCTGGTTGATTTATACATTAAGTATATTGCAAGAACTATTTTTCTCATATGAGAGGTCAGAATATACTGGCATTCAAATTTAGACCAGTGGGTGTTATTTAGTACATGGATTTTTGGTCACGTCCGAAAGACTTATGACTCATACTTCTAATTCAGGGCGCCTTGAGAAGGAACAGTCAGTATCTCTCTTTTGCGTCCTGGTTTTGACGCGTTGTTTGGAATGGGAACCAAACCAATAACCTTCCAATCATATTTGGATATTTTACAGACTTTAGACGATAAAGTCCACAAAATTAATCTTAACAAAAAACAAGATGACGTCAGCTTTTTCATCTACTACTTTTCTTACATTCCTTTTTCTCCTGCATATTGTGTATTTGTCTCAGAGCCTATACGAAACTCAAGGACATGCTCCGAGTACGATTAAACCTTTAACAGAGACAGGATACTAACATAATTTCATGTTTAACGGATTTCAAATATCCGGATAAAATTCAGTATTTTTGTAAATTCGATGATTATTTTAAGAACATGTTAGCAAGTTAAACCTACAATTGAATGTAATTTGGCTGTTATATTCCAAGCTTAACGTTGGGTTTATGTTTTATACTTAGGTTTACAACAGAATACAATTTTTTGATCGATCACTGTTCCTTATTTTTAACTTTTGAAATAGAGACTAGTATATAACTTTTAAAGGGATATGGACACCGTTTCAGCTAAAAAAATTTTAATCTGCGTTTTCATTTTTACAAATATTTAACTAGGCTTTTCTAAAAACAGATTTAAAAAAAAAGCTCCAAACCTTTGTTATGTAAATAGGGTCCGTATCATGTTTTTTTTTTTTTTTTTTTTTTTTTTTTACATAGGTTAATATATTGATATTTGTTCCTTTAAAGCAGATAATTTTAATAAAGAAGTTAATTCTAAATAAGATAAGACAGTTTCTAGTGATTTGCGGATTTTTATTTTGTTTTAAATATGATATTTTCTATATGTAAACAAAAAACAAGGCACTTGCCTTGTTTACATTATGGAGAATTTTAAGTTCTGTATCTCGTTTGTTAATCAACTGGTCTTTGGCTCCAATGACTATTTTTGCAACAATCGCGACATATCATTGCAACAAAGCCTCCTAAGATTAGTTTAAAATAAACTTTACTCATTTTCATGAATTGTATTGAACAGCAGATATAAATTAATATGATCGTATTCTCCAGAGACACCTTCTTGGACAGATTTATTTTTAATACATGTACATTCATGTAGTTATCATTATAGGGGTTATCCTCAACAATTTCTATCAAAGTTTATGGCAAGTTGTTCTTTCTTAATCAAGTATTGAAAGAGCTCTAAACTCACTAATGAGAAATATCATGAGCGGGACTACGAAAAGTTTTTTTTTTCAGAAAAGGTCTTCAGTTTTTGGCTGTTACCTATTTGATGTCAAATAATGATTTTTTTTAAAAAAACCACAAACCCTACAATTTATTGCTCCAAATGTCTTATTACACCTGAATGAAATTTTAACTATTGTTTAAATCAATAGTTAAACACTTTGCTAAATTTGATAACTTGTGTTTAAAAGACTCGACATTTATGATGGAAAGCAATTTAAACTAATCTTTGTCAACAGTTAAGGCCTTGAAACTTTCGGTTTTGTAGGATCTTCAGAATCCTCTGGTCCTACGGGATTACGCAATTAACATGGTGTCTACAAATTGAATTGAACTTTACAGTGCGATCTATCTACCCCAATTATCCCTCCAAAATACAACTGGAAGCTTTCTGTTAATTCAGAAAATAAAGCAAAAAAATCTTACAATGGTTAAACATGATTCTTACTGAACAAATAATGTCTACATACTTCTTATAGTCTATCAAGTTTCAACAAAATATATTATTATCATCGTACACATCTCTCTTAATCTCTCTTGATTTGCTTATTATGTAATGTGTCATATTGTTTGTTTGTTTGCTTGCTTGTTTGTTAAGCTTCCCTTTCGAGAATTTTTCAGTCACATTGAGACCGGTCTATACACAGGGGCCTGTAACATACTGTATTTAATTTTACGTAATCACTATATGTATACAAAAAGTTTTGTATACATGTATATATAGTGATTACGTAAAATCAAAAACATTATGTTACCGGCCCCTGTGGGTCTATACTCGACAATCAGGGTCATTGAGCAGTACTGGTGAGGGAATCTTTTTTCCTTCCAGCATCTACTGCGACACGGGACGTCAGTTTATACAATTTCATTACAAGGATCGGTCTCCATTTGAGCACCGAGATTCGAATCTGCGATGTAATAAACTTCTAACTTCACGACTCTAGAGGAAATGTTCTAACAAATGCGCCTCGCAGGTGAGTGTATCATATTGTAAAACTTACTGTAAATTACTTTTTATTCGCAAGAACTTTATTTTTGCGCAATTACGCGAGAAGGTGCAAAAATATTATTCTCGCGTATAAAAGAATTCTTAATGATCAAATAGAGCAGTAATCTATATTCGTGACAATCTTGTCTTGCTAATAAGGAGGAAATTTTTCTCTCGTGAAAATAAAATGTCGCAAAAAATTTGTGATCTACAGTACCCAAAGAAATGGTACCGTCCAGAACGTGTATTAATGCCTTTCACCAAATGGAATAATAATATACCGTATTTCTTCCTCATGCATGTCGTAATTTCAAGCCAACCTTTGAATTAGATTTAGATTTTATGATTTTAAGGAAATTTAATCCCTCATCGTTAGTTAATGTTTATTAGATAAGGATTGAGAGCTTTGTTCTGTAATCTTATTTGTGATCAGATTCTGTGTTCAAATTTAAAAAATCATCATAATCAAGCTTTAACATCTTTT